TTTTCTGTTTCAAATGTTACCAATTTTGAAAAATGAGATTAATTTAAATGAGTGGCAGAAGGGTCTTAATAAATTTATCTGGGCAGGGAAAAAGCCAAGGGTTAAGTTTAAAATTATGCAAGACTTCCGTGAGAGGGGTGGACTTAAGGTACCAAATTTGAAATTATATTATGATGCGGTGGTTTTAACACTAATCAGTGATTGGGTAAATTTGACAAATTCTGAGATACTTTATCTAGAGGGATGGGATTTACTTTATGGGTGGCATGCCTATTTAATATTCAATAAAAAAATGGATTGGGCTTTTAAATCTCATATCTTAAGAATTTCTTTACTTAGGATTTGGAGAAAATATTATAAAAGCGATTTCAAAGTACCATTATGGGCTATACCTTGGCATGCGATAGAAGCAATAAAAAGAGGGGTTAAAATGGATATGGTGTCTTACAGACAGTTACTTAAATGGGATGGACAAAACTGGCAATTAAAATCACGGGAAGAGTTAGCGCAAGAAAACTTTATTTATTCTTGGTTCCAATATAGGCAATTATTAGACAGATGGAAGATGGATTGTAAGGTGGGTTTTCTTAGAGAAGATGAAAATCTTATCAAGCAAGTGAAGGATTCAAGACAAACCCACATTAAGAGAATTTATGCGGTTTTAGTTGAATTGGATTCAGAAACGGAACTAATTAAAGATTGTATGATAAGATGGGCGCAGAATTTTGGTGAGCCAGTCTCATTGGACACCTGGGAAAATATTTGGGTGAGAAATGTCAAATTTACACAAGCACAGAACTTAAGGGAGAATTTTTATAAAATGTTTTATAGATGGCACCTTGATCCACAAAAAATGTCTTATATGTACCCTGACGTGCAACCCAAATGTTGGAGATGTGGTTATAAGGAGGCTTCCTATTATCATATTTGGTGGTCATGTAGAGAGATAAAAGCATTTTGGATCAAAATATGGTGGAATATCCAGAGAATTTTTAGAAGGAGGGTAAAATTTACTCCGCAATTATTTTTGTTAGGTATTGTTACAGATTGTGATACAAAGGAGGTTGTTTTGATGTTAAATTTGATTACAGCCGCTAGGCTGTTAGTAGGACAATATTGGAAGAAGGAATCTTTGCCTACATTGCAGGAATGGTTTCTTAAAGTAGCTTATCTGGCGGAAATGGCAAAGATTTCGGCTTTCTTAAAGCAACAAACGCAAGAGAAGTTTCTTGCTGTTTGGGATAAATGGATAAAATTTATACAATTTAGATTGGGTATACAAAAATATTATATAGTTTTTTCATAAGTTTTATTTCTTATATATATTATAGACAATCTTTTTATATATATAAATATAAAGTTCTTAATTTAATTTTTATTTTTACTTCTTAAGCCTATATTCTGCTCTGGGAAGCTCAGGGGGGGGGAAGGGAGGGGGGGGTTTTTTGGGAGGGGTGGGGGGTTTTTTTTTTTTTATATATATGTATTGTTTAGTTTTATTTTTTTGTATATGTTGTCTCTGTTTTGTATTCTTTTTTCTTTTTTGTAAAATTTATAAAACTTTTAATAAAAAAAAAAAAAAAGAATATAAAAGAGAAATGTGTGTTCTAGCCAAGACTGATGATGAGTAGACAAATACCAAAGAATGCTTCAATATGAAGCTAGTTGCTCTTTAATAGTCACAAGCCAGGATCTTCCAGGAAAGATCAAGGTGCCAGTGCCATCTGAAGGCACAAAGAAGGTCCCTCTTCCAGGTCCACGACAGCGATGTTGAGAACAGAAAGACACTTCCTGCTGACCTTTGTTGCTCCCTGGCAAGAACAGGTAGGGCTTTAAAGGTGATCACCAGCACCTTGAGTTGTACCCGGAAGCAAACTGGCAGTCAGTGCAGAGGTGATACATGGGCAAGTCAAATGGAAAGGCAGAGCACGTTACGAGTCCCATCAATTAGAGAATGCCATCTGGTAGGACCACAAAAAGGGTCTTCTTGGTGGTGGCCCCTTCTCCCCATGTGGTCTGGTTACTTTCCACCCTGTTGCTTTTCTGGAAGACCCTAAAAATGTGGTTTCGTCAGTGGGTCAGAGGACCCCGAATGGACATAGAGCCCATCAAGTGGCTGATTTGATTGTGATGCTGCTGCTATGGGGGTTATGTGTACGTGTTTATGGGTTTTTATTCTATGGTGGATTTTAAAAAGGTTGCAAGTCATTCGGAGTCAGCTATGTATGAGTTGGGTGGCTATATAAGTTTGCTTAATAAATAAAAATAAACACAAGGCTGAACTGCTCCAGGCCCTGGTGCCTGCAAGGGGCAGCCCAAAGGCAATCTGTAGAGGGGCTTTGTCTCTCTGCACGATAAGCCACGGCTCCAGAATTCAATTATAGCAGAGGGCCCCAACCTTTTGGGCATCAGAGACCGGTTCCGTGGAGAGAGATTTTTCCACGGACTGGAGGGTGCGTGGTTTGTGTGCTGCCTGCACCCCATGGATGAGGCTTTGCTTGTTTGTGCAGACCGGTTGCTGGCATGCCGTGGCCCAGTACTGGTCCACAGACTGGGGGTTGGGGACCCCTGAGTTATAGGAACATCCTTATAGGATGATAAGCCTTCTTACCAGTCGTGTTCCAACACTCCATTCTCTATCTCTTCTATACCCTTTTCTCACTTATCCCTTTTTTCTTGACACATACACCTTTATCCCCATCTCCATCCAACAATATCCCCTACTATGTCTGTTATTAACTGGTGGGCCATCATGCCATATATGCTTCACCCACTTTTACCTGACTTTCCTGCCAATCCCCTTGCTTCCAGGATCATCATCCCCCATCAGGGAGGTGGACTTCTGCTTTTGATACAATGCCCACACAGAGCCTCCAGCTCCCCCAAAGCAAAATTAGCCCGTTCCTCTCAAGCTGCTTAGTAACTGCTATGGCTATCAAGCTGGAACACTCCATCCTGGAGTGACACAACAGCCACCCACCTGGGCCAACAGGGAGCCAGCGTTTCCTCTCATCAGCGGCTACAATGTCACCCCTGAGTCAATCCACTCAGCCTGCAGCCTCATCGCGTCTCCATGACTGGGATTATTTGGCATGGGGCCCCTTAATGAAATCCTCAGTTTCCCCAATTCTAACCTCAAGTTACCTCTTGAACATTCTTAAACGCACCAGTGGGAGGGAAGGTCATTTGCAGCCGGGCCCTGAAACTCAGCCCCTGAATTGCATTAGACTAGAAGACCTCCAAGATCCCTTCCAACGCTGTTATTCAGTTATTCTGTTAATGCAATGTAATGGCCTGCCCTCGGTGCCTCCTCTCCTCCAGGCTCAAGCGCCATTTATCATCTCAAGAACCTCCAGACCACCACCATCGCCACACTTTTGTCCTTGTGACCCTCCACAGATCATTACTGATGGGTGTATTGAAAGCATTTCTATCCCCAGGGTGAGAAACCGGCTTCCAGAGGGGCTAAAAGATAAACAAAAGGAGACAGTGTGCCTGCAGGCTTGGCTTACAGCATAAAACAAGATGACACACAAGGAAAACAAGTAGAGAAGAAAAGAGGAAACAAGAATACTGAGCAGCTAGTTCTTAAGATTATGCTGCTCTTATAATGGCCTGTTATAAGGCACGTATATTATTTGTGTGCTTTTAAGTACTTTTTATTAGATGTGATCTCCCAATATTCCATCGACAGCTAGTAACCCTGTTAACAAGCAACCAATAATAACCACTAATAAAACAAACAAGCAAATACCAAATTAAAGAGAGTTTCTTCCAAGGGTCTTTACTATACAGATGACAGAAATCACTGCAAGATCTGTTCTATACTCCCCAGTATACCGAGCATGTAAAATATGAGTAATTAACATATATATGAATGCCTAGCCCTTTCCAGTATCTGTACAAGTATTTTATCTCAGTCCTCCTCTGAGCAATAAACCCTCCAGTTCCTAAGATGTCATCAATCATGTTCGCTTCTTGGCTATGTGAGCTTCATTCCAAGACCTAATCAACATCTATAATCATTCCCCACCCCATAAACCCCTGATGAGGGACAGGTCCAACCCCTCAACAGGCACACCACACCATGGCAACCTTAATCCTGGTCTCTGTTTAGCTTTGAAGTTACAGCCTAAGGTGTGTTGTTAACCCTTCTGTAAAAATGTCCCAAAGGCAACTGGACTTTTTTTTCCCCCTTGAAAACATTTCAGCTTCTTTGGAACTGAAGAACTCAACTGAATGGATGAGAAGCCAAACATTTTCAAGGGAAAAAAAAACCAAGAAAGTCCAATTGCTTTTAGAAAAGAACCTTTGGAACAACGCTGACCTGGACGATGGAGAATCTCCAACCTTTAATCAGCTCCAACCACAAAGAGGGATAACTTGTCTATACCCATCCACACACACACACCTCTTGCACAGCAGTGATGGTACCCCTGTACCCCCCAACATCCATAGAGGACCACAGGTCAGGCTCCCTCACTATTTCACATAAGGAGATGCCAAACACTCCAGCCTCTCTCTCTCTCCCCAGCAATGCTGCCTTAAGCCACCCCAGTCCTTCCCCATGGCTGCCCCTGAGTCAGCCCCCCCCAGCCCCCCTCCATCTCCACTGCTTCTCAGCCACCCCTCCCCACCTGATGGGCTCCAGCAAGGTTAAATCTCCACCTCCCATCATCTCAGCTGCCATGTTGCCACCCCTGGAGACCCCTCAAGAAGACCCTAGCCAGGCTGGCCGCGGATGATGGGACCTATACCCCATCACCAGGGGGGAGAAGCAGCCCCTCCACTCCCCCAAAGCTCCTCCCCCTTTTCGCATGCCTCCTTAGCTTAGCCCCTCCCCCAAAGAGAGGTCGCTGCTCCCTGCCAACCCGGCGCCCCTCCGTCTCTCTCTCCTCTCATTTACATATTTCATTAGCATGCCCGCCGCCGGAGCCAATCAGGGCGCTCGCAGAACTCGTTTGCATACCCGCCTCCTCGGCAGCCCGCCCTCCACTCACCCCTCCGCAGGGCCTCGTCGTAGGTGAGGAAGCCGATGCGCGACTCCTTGTTGCCCATCGCGTCTCCTCAGTCCATGGCCGAGACCGCCGCCACCGCCGCCGCCGCCGCCGTCCGTCCCCGGCAACAGTCGCTCGCCTCAGGCGGCTGCCGCCGTCGTCGCGGCCGCCGTTTCGCCTGGACTAGTAGCCTCGGCCGCCGCAACAGCAGCGCCGCCCCCGCCGACTCCTGAGGAAGATGTTCGCCTCAGCTGCTGCCGCCGTCGCCGCCACCTCCATTCCGAATCACGTGACGTCGCCAATTAACTGACCCCTCCTCTTCTTTCAAAGCTCGGCCCCGCCCCTGGCGTGTGACTCGTTTTCCCCCTGCACCACCCGCTTAGCCCGAGAACGAGAAGGAACCCTCACTTCCGGCGCGAGGTCGACCGCGCGCCCTCACGCAGGCAATGCGCGTGCGCGGAACGGAATTCCCTTTCTCTTCTTTTTTTCCCCCCAGTTTCTTTTTTTAAAAAGTGATCATAATGAATGTTTTTAATTGCTCTTATTGTTTTTTAAGACAGCAACAATCTTTTCCCCGTTCCTTTTTAAAGTTCTCTGACTTGGAAGTAATATAGTGTGTGTGGGGGGAAATAATGTAATAAGGTAGCAATTACAGTCTCTATTACGGCTGAAATTTTACCTCAGAATTTCCCCAGAGTATTTGAGAAATAAATATGTTCTGTGCGCCCCTGTAAAATCATACAGGTGGTCCTCAAATACAACCACAACTGAGCCCAAAATTCTGTTGCTAAGTGAGACAATTAAGTAAATTTTGCCCCACGTTACAACCTTTCTTACCACAGTTGATCGGTTAGTAACACGGTTGTTAAGCAAATCTGGTTTCCCTATTGACTTTGCTGGTCAGAAGGTCGCAAAAAGGGATCATGTGACCCTGGGACACTGCAACCGTCATAAATATGAGTCAATTGCCAAGCGTCTGAATTTTGATCTCACAACCATGAGGATGCTAAGTGTGAAATGGGGCAAAATTCACTTAACAACTGTCTCACTTCGCGACAGAAATTTTGGACTCAACTGTGAGCATAAGCTGAGGACTACTTGCACTATTTCAGACAAAATGGTTGTCCAGTCTCCCCTTAAAAAAAACCTCCAGTGTTGGGGCACCCACAACTTCTGGTGCCAAGTCGTTTCACTGGTTAATTGTTCTCACTGTCAAGAAATTTCTCCATTGTTCTAGGTTGGGTTTCTTTTTGAGAAGCTTCCACCCATTACTTCTTGTCCTGCCTTCTGGTATTTTGGAGAATAAATTGACCCCCCTCTTTTCTGTGGCAGCTGCTGAGATACTGGAAGACTGCTAGTGCAATATATTTTCTATTCTGCTTGATGTCTCAGAAGGGTTACTGTATTGCAGGGGTCTTCCAACGTGGCCCTTTTATGACTTGTGGACTTCAACTCCCAGAATTCCTCCGCCGGCATGGCTGGCTGAGAAATTCTGGGAGTTGAAGTCCACAATTCATAAAAGAGCCAAGTTGGAAGACCCCTGCTGTATTGGATTTAACAGACTTTCGTTTGGAAACCTGAAGTGTGTTTCTCTTGATTTACCCTTCCCTTTACAGTGATCAGAAAATAGCTCCTCCCCTCGGAGCTTGCTTTCGTCACGTGACAGAGGAGAAGCGGCGCTCTCTTTCTTTCTATAGAGAGAATATTTTAGAGTTATCCTCAAATGCCAAAAAACACAAGATAGTTTCCGTTGTGTCTTATTTCTAGAAAAAAACATAGGCACGCATCCCTTCAGAGGGACTCGCTGTCTCCATCTGAAACCATGCAGAGTTTTAATTGCAATGGTGAAGCCCAACCGATCTAACCTCTATAATGTTTTCATAGCAAGTATTTGGCAGCAATTGGTCAGAAGCAGCGACAGTCTATGGAGGGAGGAGCCCACTGAGATAAAAATTATAGAAGAGGACATACAAAGTTTCCCTTTGAAAATATTTTTTGTAGTGGAATTAATGGCAATTTGATCACTCTCTACATCAGCGTTTCTGTAACTCGAGGCTGTGTGAACTTCAATTCGCAGAAGTCCCATCTTTCTGGGAGATAAAGTCCGCACCTCTTAAAATGATCAAGTTTGAGAAACACAGCTCTATATCTTCTTAGCATCTGTATTCTGAATATTGTCACTGTTCTATCTGTGTGGTTCATAAGAGCTGACAACAACTAAATGGCATGTAATTGATCCATCAAAAAAAGTTAGCATATGTCATTAAGCATTCAATACATACCATCGTAGTTATCAATCTTTTTATTATCTTGATAAATTGCCACTTCATAACTGTGTGAATTAATGGAATGGAAGCTAAAACATATGAAGAATGGTTGCTGGAATTGGGTATGTCTAGTTTAATGAAGAGAAGGACGAGGGGGGACATGATAGCAGTGTTCCAATATCTCAGGGGCTGCCCCAAAGAAGAGGGAGTCAAGCAATTTTCCAAAGAGCCTGAAGGCAGGACAAGAAGCAACAGGTGGAAACTAAGCAAGGAGAGAAGCAACCTAGAACTAAAGAGAAACTTCCTGACAGTGAGAACAATTAACCAGTGGAACAACCTGCTTCTTGGAAGTTTTTAAGAAAAGATTGGACAACCATTTGTCTGAAATGGTATAGGGTCTCCTGCCTGAACGGGGTTGGACTAGATGACCTCCAAGGTCCCTCCCAACTCTCTTATTCTGAAAATGGATCAAGTTTGCTCTTCCAAGAAGGCAATCTGGAGGACTTCTAAATGTTCCAATGTTGAATAATCCCTTTCTTTCCTATTCCATCTATAATACATCCACAAGTATTTGTACAATGAAAGATTCCTCACTTTTTATATATAATTGAGGAACAATTTCACATCTTTAAAGAATAATAATAATAATGTTTCCAACATTGAATTCATTATCTAAAAAAGCATTGAGGGCATGTAGGTTGAACTTGCAACCACAATTGCAGTCAGTATTTCTTTCGCTAAGCAAGCTGGTTTTAAGTGAGTTGTGCCCAATTTTATGACCTGTTTGGCCACAATTCAGCAAATCACTGCAGTTGTTAAGTGAATTCCATGGTCATTAAGTGAATCCAGCTTCCTCCATTGACTTTGCTTGCCAGAAAACAGATGGGAATGTCACAAACGGTGAACGCATGACCCCAGGATGCTGCAACTGTGAACTGAAAAATCATATGGGTATTTCCTCACCTATTGTCACTTCCAGCATAGTTGCAAACCATCATGATGAATGGATGAGAAATCCTTGTCTCTCAACACTGAACATGGAACATAAATCATACAGTTTCCATAATAATGTTGCAATGCATGGTTCATCATGGCCTCCTCCCTTTTGCTTCCTTCCCTCTCAGATGCTCAGTAGCCCTGAAAAATGATATTTTATTGAAAGCTGGGATTTCCCCAACTCCGAGGAAGCATTTTGTTTAAACCATGTTAATCCTATTTTAGCACCTCTGCTGGTTCTCACAGGCATCTCTGAGCAAATGGAGAACTGAACTTAGGGTAAGTATAAGGAACCACTCAATCCACATCTTAAGAAAGCAGAACTTTTGGAAACAATCTCTTCCAACAGGAACTTTTATTAAGAGAAATTGATAGCAGGCATAATAGACAGGATCTGAGGGATTCCCTCACAAATCGATGTTTTAAAGTGTCCCTAAGCAACCCGCACCCCCCAGTTCTTCCTGGCGATTCAGACCGGCAGATTTCTAAGTGTTAAATCCAGGAAAGATACCATCAATCCGGCTCCATTGTACATGATCATTCAACAGCTCCTCACCCCTTACTTTGACGACGGATAAATAAACCAGATCTTGGAGCTGTATCTTTTCAAACCCCCCTCCCCCTTTTCCTAGTAAGGAGAAGTTCAGAGCGGCATAGGATAAGAGGCAAATGGTTACATTGTAATGGTTAGCAGAGGTGAATAAACAAAAGGTTACTTTGTAGTGAATAGAGGAAGTGAAAGTAATAAAAAAAAACCCTGTGTATCCCCCTCCCCCTTGGGAGTATGGCAGGACCCAGGAAAGGGTAAGAATTGGTTTTAGATCAGAGGAGATAAATAGAAAGGAAATATAACTGGATCCTGACATCAAGAGAGAAGATGCTAAAGGGAGGCTTGCAAAAAAGATGAGATGGCCCCGAGAAACAGGGAAGGGTGAGAAAGAAACTCAAGAGAAGGCCTGCTTGATTCTGTATGGTACCAGAATTACAAGATCCAGACTTATGATTATAAGTGGGAACAGAATTTCCAGTGCAAAGCAAGGTGGTGGTTAAGTGAATCATGCCCAACTTTTTGACTTTTTTGCCATAGTGGTTAACCCAGGGGTCTTCAAACTTGGCCCTTTTATGATTTGTAGAGGAATTCCTTGAGGAATTCTGGGAGTTGAAGTCCACAAGTCATAAAAGGGCCAAGTTTGAAGACCCCTGGGTTAAGCAAATCATTGCAGTCTCTCAACAAATCACATGGTCATTAAGTGAATCTGGCTTCCCCCATTGACTTTGCTTGCCAGAAGCCTGCTGGGAAGATCATAAATCAGGGGTAGGCAACCTTGGCTCTTTTATGACTTGTGGACTTCAACTCCCAGAATTCCTGAGCCAGCCTGGCTCAGTATGGAAACTTCTCCATTTCTCCTCAGCATGGCTGGCTCAGGAATTCTGGGAGTTGAAGTCGACGAGTCATAAAAGAGCCAAGGTTGCCTACTCACCATAAATGATGGTCACATGACCCCAGGGTGTCATAAATACATGCCAGTTGACAAGCATCTGTATTTTAATCACACAACCATGGAGACAATTGTAAATGTGAGACCAATTCATGTAACACCAATTCACGTAACAATTGCAGTTGGCTTAACAACAATAGGTCGTAAAATAATCACTGTCAATCCTTCCGCTGATTGATGGGAGAATTCAATGTTGTCCTTTGATCACCACCATATCGGAGCCTTTCTGCCATGGGACAAGAAAGTTACTTCGGCTCTGTGATTTATACAATTGTATAAATCTGGAGAAAAAGTGAGAATTAATTTGTGAGAAGGTACGTCCATGCTCGGAAAATCTTATCCAGGTGTATCCACCTTGTACCTTGTCTTATCATTCATCCTTTACTGGGTATGTTTGCTCTAGAGGTTCACTTTCTGACGTAATGGAAAGTGGTCATAAGGCAGAATTTGATTGTCATTTTTTAAGCAAACATTTTCATTGCAGACTGATAACATTAACTCCAGGAAGCTTTACCAGTAATAAAAGAAACTTGCAAATCAACAGGAAGGAGAAAGATTTTTCTCTCCTTGTTTTTCTCTGGGTGTCATTTTCAAGCCAAGTTCGGAAAACACAGCTTAGGCTTTGATACACCGTACTCTGTGCTTAGGGCAGTGTTTCTTATCCTTGACAACTTTAAGTCGTTTGGACTTCAACACCCAAGATTCCCTAGGCCAGGGGTCTTCCAACTTGGCCCTTTTATGACTCATGGACTTCAACTCCCAGAATTCCTCAGCCAGGCACGCTGGC